CACTGAACTTGAACCTCACTGGCTAGGCTAGACTAGCTGGTCATCAAGTTCCAGGGATCTTCCTCAGCACTGGGATTACAGGCATGTGCTACTGTACCCAGCTTTTCACCTGGGTGCTGGGGATCCAAACTCAGGTCCCCATGCTTGCATGGGAATTACTTTACCCACTGAGCCATCTTCCCAGGCCCCTGACTTTTGAAGAAAAAAAAAAATCCATCTATTCCGGGCATGGTGGCTCATGCCTGTTGTCCATCCCAGCACTCAGAAGGGTAAGGCAGGAAGGTCATATGTTGGAGCCAGCCAGGATGTGATTAGGCAGGTGTGTAAGATGATGCCCACAAATAGCTGGTAAGGGTTCTGGTCAAAGATAGTGCCAGGGGAGGCCGGGCTGTGATGCACTGAGCCGAGGCAGACTAAACTGAATAGATTCAGGTCTGCTTCAGAGGTAAAAATACAGATGCTGCTGATGGAGTGGGTGTTAAAGGTGGGGGAAATGGTCTTGGGTGATGTGTAGGTTTGGGGCCTGAGCAACCGGGTGGGCAGTTACAGCACTTCCTGAGATTGTCAAAACTCAGGGAGGGAAATATTTGAGGCAAGGGTTGAATGTGTTAAGCCTGTCATTCTGGGAGATGCTGATACAATTCGAATGGTGGCTTAGATACCCTAACATAAAAGTGGCAGATATGGCAGCTCCACGTCATCACCAAAGATCCAGACACTTCCAACTCTTGGTTCTATCACCCTGACTGCCCTTTGTTATCAGGGCCCAAAATGGCTGCCAGAATTCCGATTTCCAGCCTGTACAATGGTCACCCAGTAGAAAAAGGATTTGATCCTTTCATTTAGGAATTACTCTCTGAATGATTACATGACATTTTTTGTTTACGTCCAGTTAATAAACCTTTAGCACATGGCCTCACCTAGCCACAAGGGAGACAGGTAAGAAATATCTCTGTTGGACAAGATACAGCCATCAAATACAAAGAGAGTTCTTTGACGAGAATTGGGAGAAATGCCAGGACAGGAAGCTGCCAGTGTCTGCCTGCCAGAATACATCTCTTCTACCCCTTGACCCCAGGTGGGGTTACATAGCCTCTTTACGGGGAGTCTAACACTTCTGGTGGGATATTGCATTGATTTGTGGTTACTCCCCCATGAACTGAAACCTGCCTGATGCCCAAGAGCTGTTCACAGCAGATAGTGAAACCCCGAGACAAGTAAGAGACGTGAGAGTTAGTGTGTTTTGTTTATTTGTTGGTATTTTGTTTCTTTGAGGCAGGATTCTCTGTCTAGCTTAGGCTGGCCTGGAACTCCTGGCAGTCTTCCTTCCTCAGCCTCCCTAGACTCCACCATGTTCAGCCATTACCATTTAAAGACACCCAAAGTAGGGTGTAGAGAGATGGCTCAGTGGTTAAGAGCCTTGGCTGCTCTTTCAGAGGACCCAGGTTCAGTTCCCAGCACCCACATGGTGGCTTACAGTTCATAGCTCCATTCCAAGGGCTATGTTGCCCTCTTCTGGTCTCTTTGGGCACTGCATGCACATGGTGCATTTACATACATGCAGCCAAAATACTCATAAATAAATAAATAAATAAATAAATAAATAGGGGCTGGAGAGATGGCTCAGTGGTTAAGAGCACTGGCTGCTCTTGCAGAGGACCCAGGTTCAGTTCCCAGAACCCATATAGCAGCTAACAACCATCTGTACTCCAGTTCCAGGAGATCTGATGCCCTCTTCTGACCTCCACAGACGCTGCACAACACGGGTGCACTTACATACATGCAGACAATACACTCATATGCATAAAATGGCAAAAAATTTTTTTAAAAAAAGAATATCACCTGAGCCAGGGAGTTTAGGACTTCTGGGCATCCTAGTGACATATGACTCAGAAAACAAACAGAAAAAACCAGTTTAGCTTCTCTCCATGCTAGGCCTGTCACAAGCATATCCCACAACCCCTTGCCAATGCTGGACATAGACCCAGGCAGACGGAAGGGGTAGGGAGGTAGGACATGAGGTTAGAGAAGTCAGAGAGTGCAGGTCCCGCCTCTTGCACACTTGGTTGTGACCTTGGGCAAGTCATTTTACCTGGCTGGGCCAATCTCCTCACCTATGTGCTAGGAATTGGGATGTGAGGCTCTGGGGTTCAATCTCTGGCACTGATGGACTGTAATGGGAACTGGGGGAATGAGGATTGAGATAGAGCCCATCTTCTACAAGCAGTGTGAAGACTACACGGAAAAGACATAGGCAACACCCTGTGCATAGGGCCTCAGACAGCCTGTGCTGATTCAGTGGCCACTGCCCTGCTTTGTTATCTTGCAGGTGAAAATGAGGGTTCTGGGGGTACTGATGATGATAGTCTTTGCTTTCTGATTTTCTTTCCCTTTTTCTTTGTGTGATAATGAAAATGGAACTCAGGGCCTTGAACGTGCCAGGTAGAAACTTTACCACTGAGCCACACCCCAGCCCCTCACTGGGGGATTCTAGGCAGGGGCTCACCACTGGGCCCCACCCCTGGCCCTTTTTTTATTTTTCAAATTTTAAGTCAAGGTCTTACTAAGTTATCCAGCCTTATCTTGAACTTACTCTGTAGCCCGGGCAGGCCTTGAACTTTCTATTTTCCTGCAGTTTTTTGTTTGTTTGTTTGTTTGTTTCTTTCTTTCTTTCTTTCTTTCTTTCTTTCTTTCTTTCTTTCATTCATTCTTTCTTTCTTTCTTTTTTTTGGCAGGGGGTGATGGGGTTGGAATGGAAGACTTCTGAACCACTGAGCCACACCCCAGCCCCTCACTGGGGGATTCTAGGCAAGGGCTCTACCACTGAGTCACACCCCCCAGAGCCTCACTGGTAGATTTTAGGTAAGTGCACTATGAGCTACACTCCCCGTCCAACATTTCCTTTCCAACCTCCTGTCTTGTTCCTCTAACGGTTAGTCAGGGTGGGTTAACTGCTGTCACAGGTAATCTTGAACTCTCAAAGTATTAAAACGTCACAGCTCTGTACAGCAGGCCACAGAGGACAGGCAGCAGTGAGGCCCTTCCCAGTTTCAGGTCCTGCCCTTCTCTGGGCTTGGATGGTCCTGAGTCAGTGAGCCTGTAGATATTGTTGGGGAGATGAACCAGGTCGGAAGAACAATCTATCTCCCTTACCTACATCCCTTTGGCCAGAAATCAGTCATATGGCCCCACTCAACTACTCAAGATTCTGGAAGAAGCAGGGTAGGTAGATGATATAGCCATTAATGAGACAGTACAACAGACCACCTCTAGTGGCAGAGAAAACCAGCTGCTGAGAGGGAATGGTGGGTGGTGTTGCACACCTGTAATCCCAGTACTGGGGAAGCTGGGGCAGGTGGATCAGGCGTTCCGGACCAGCCTGGTTTACATAGTGAGACCTTGTCTCAGAGCACCAAGGGGGTCAGGGAAACACTATTCGCTATGATATAGGTTAGGTCATGTGAGACTTCTTTTAGTCTATACTGGCGTCACCTGAGATGCAGCCAGGGCTGGGAAATTCAGGATGGTCTCACTCACAGGATGGGTGGCAGGTGCCTTGTCAAGGCTATTCTAGGCATCTTTAACTCAACAGGCTCAGGATAGCAGATGGCAGGAGGGGAAACTGTTAGGCCTCTTTACGTCCAGGCTCTGTGACTCTTACTAGATCATTTCTAGAAAAAAAAAAAAAAAGTTTTGTTTTGTTTTTTTCTTTTTTGAGATAGTTCTGAACAGCCTGGAACTCTATATGTAGACCAGGTTGGCCTCGAATTTACAGGAATCTTCTAGCAAATTCTGTTAATCACTGCAAGTCACAAGTCCACCCAGATTCAGGGAGGAGCAGCTGAAGCGTGCAAAGGAATTCTATATGTAGACCAGGCCAGCCTGTGACAGGGAGGGAGGAATGGAAAGGGAGGGAAGGAAAAGGAATTTGCAGCTGGCTGTGATGATGTAAGTGTATAACACTGGGGAGGCACAGGCAGGAGGAAGCAGGATCCCTGTAAATTTAAGGCCAGCCTGGTCTCCATCTGGGTCCAGGTATGGGAAGAGACTATCACAGCGCACGAGCCGCTGTGGGTAGGCACCAGGCGGGTGTGAAAGATGGGATTGGGTGAATGCATAGCAGCCTCCCACAGCTTCCTTCTAGAAGCTTCTGTTACCACCCATCTTCCTGGGCAGCTGTAGTCTCTTCTACCTCTGGCTCCTGGTATCTCTTGTGCTACCCATAGAGCACTTTACAAAGTGCTGGCCAAGCAAGCAGCACCCCAGAACCCACAAAAATGCTCTGGGGTGGGGGCTGGAGAAATGGCTCAGCGGTTAAGAGCACTGACTGCTCTTGCAGAGGACCCGGGATCGATTTCCAGCACCCACATGGTGGTCAACAACCATCTGTAACTCCAGTTCCAGGGAATCCAGTCCCCTCTTTTTATTTCCACATGACATGCAGGCAATACACTCATACACATAAAATAATAAATTTAAAAAAACTTTTTTAAAGCCTGGCATGGTGGCACACTCCTATAGTCCCAGCACTTGGGAGGCAGAGGCAGGCAGATCTCTGTGAGTTCAAGGCCAGCCTGGTCTACATAGTGAGTTCCAGGAGAGCTGGGGCTACAGGGAGACCCTGCTTCAAAAAGACAAAAAAAAGAAAAAAAAAAAAAAATTTTTTTTTAAATGCCCTGTGAGCATGGAGGCTCACCTGCCATCCAGACAGAGACAGGATCCTTGGAAGCAGGCCAGCTATTGGTGCAGGCTAGCTAGTGACACTAAATCCTATAGTTGATCTCTGAGTTCAATTGAGAGAGCCCGCCTCTATGAATAAGGGGGAAAGCCATTGCAGAAGATTCCCAAAGTCAACCTCAGCCTTCCACAGGCATGTGCACATACCTACATCCCCCATGTGTACACCACACATACACTCTCTCACACACGCAAACCTACTCAGACTGAATTCAATGGTATCTCAGGGACTCAACTCTCCCTTTCTGTTTCTCCTGGTTCAGGGACGGGACAGGAAGTACAGACAGAGAATGTGACAGTGGCTGAGGGTGGGGTGGCAGAGATCACCTGCCGTCTGCATCAGTATGATGGTTCTATAGTGGTCATCCAGAACCCAGCCCGGCAGACCCTCTTTTTCAATGGCACCCGAGGTGAGTGCAAGTTGCCTGGACTTCTGGGACCTCAAAGAAGACACATCTGACAGGGGCAATGAGGTTGGGTACCTGGACAGCCGCGGTCCTGCAGGAAGGCATGGTAGAATCATTTCGGTTCCCCAAGGGTTAACAGTTGAACAGGCCAGACTCAGAGATATGGCAGGGGAGAAGGCTGCATCGATCCTGGAGGGTGGGCGTCCATCTGGAGGCCAGAACCCTCCCACGTCAAAGCCCTGTTTACTCTAGCTCTGAAGGATGAGCGATTCCAGTTAGAGGAGTTCTCCCCACGTCGGGTGCGCATCCGCCTCTCAGACGCCCGTCTGGAGGATGAAGGGGGCTACTTCTGCCAGCTCTACACGGAGGACACCCACCACCAGATCGCCACACTCACTGTCCTAGGTACTGCCCCCCTCACACTGCGGCTCCGTTTCATTCTCAGCTTCTCCCCTGTCCTGAGACCTGCTCGCCCTAGTCAGTTTTTTTAAAAAACCTTTTGGACATCTGACTCCAGCAGGCCTCTGGTCTCTGCGTTTGACCCCTGCCACCTGGGACTCTGGCTCCCTTTGGTCCCTGGGATCCAGCAACCTGATTGACTTGAGCCTACCTCGGTGCCTTCCTTGACCCCTGCGCCCCTTCTCTGCGCAGTGGCTCCGGAGAATCCAGTGGTCGAGGTCCGGGAGCAGGCAGTGGAGGGCGGCGAGGTGGAGCTCAGCTGCCTAGTTCCACGATCGCGCCCCGCAGCCGTCCTGCGCTGGTATCGAGAACGCAAGGAGCTGAAAGGTACCCAGGACCCATGGGGTTAGGAACAGGGGGCTTGAAGGGTGGGGCTTAGGAAAGAGGAGAGTTTTAATGGTGGGTGGGGCTTGGAGAATGGCACGCAGATTCTGACAAACAGTAAAATTTAGCTCTTGAACCAGAGAGGCGGAGAGAGGAGGATCAGGAGTTCAAGCTCATCCTCAGCTACAAAGCGAGTTCAAGGCCAGCCTGGACTACGGGAGACCCTGCCTCAAATCAAAACAAAACTCCCCAGATATTCAGCTATTGAATGAAATGACTCACAAGAGAGCATAGGAAGGAGGAAGGATGGGCATGGTGGCGCACACCTTTAATCCCAGCACTCTGGAGGCAGAGGCAGGCGGATCTCTGTGAGTTTGAGTCCAGCCTGGTCTGCATAGCGAGTTCCATGCCAGCCAGGGCTACATTAATAGCGAGACCCTGTCTCAAAACAAAACAGAAAGGCATGGGGGCATGGTTTATCTTGGGGCGTGGCTAGGCGAATAAGAGACAGGCCCTATGGGGAGGGGCGTGGCTTAGCCATCAGCAGCCTGCTTTGGGATTAGGGGACAGGGCAGAGCAGTACCCTAGCCTGACCGAATTTGGGGGTCCGGGGGGTTCGGATAGGAGTGAGCAGCGGCCAGGAGAACGGCAAAGTGTGGAGCGTGGCGAGCACCGTGCGGTTCCGGGTAGACCGCAAGGACGATGGCGGAATTGTCATCTGCGAAGCACAGAACCAGGCGCTGCCCTCCGGGCACAGCAAGCAGACGCAGTACGTGCTGGATGTGCAGTGTAAGTGGTTCGGGGGGGGGGGTCTCACCGCCAGACAGCCACCCCTAGAGGCCCCGGAGTCCCGGCACATCTCCCTCTCTTCCTCCTGCGCTGCAGACTCCCCCACGGCCCGGATCCACGCTTCGCAAGCAGTGGTGAGGGAAGGAGACACGCTGGTGCTGACATGCGCGGTCACAGGGAACCCCAGGTGAGATCCGGACTTCAGGGCCCTAAGGGATGAGGGTCCTGGGGGCTGTATAGAGCTGGACTCCTGATGGAAGGGCCTGGGAGGGCTCGAACTACTTGGTTTTCCAGGAAGGACAGGGCCAGGAGAGGGCCTTTCAAAACATTTGATTGATTGATTGATTGATTGATTGATTGATTGATTGATTGATTGTAGAGGGCCTTGCCTAACACATGGGGAAGTCAGATGACAACTAGTGGCAATCAGTTCTCTCCTCCCACCTTGTGGGTCCCAGGGATCGAATTCAGGCCATCGGGCTTGGTGGCAAGTGCCTTCACCCACTGAGCCATCATCTCGCGGGCCTGGGTTGTTGGATATCCCCACCTCTCCCTCACTTACTGGGACTTGAACCTAGAACCTCATGCATGCTAGTCAAACGCTCTGACACTGAGCTCCAGGCCCCAGCCCTGAGACCCATTTATTTTGAGGTCCTTACTGCATGAGGGCTGCATGTCTAGACTCCTGAGAAGAATTGGGGTTCCTAACTTTCACTGTGCTTTTACCCACGGCCAGGCCAAACCAGATCCGCTGGAACCGCGGCAATGAATCTCTGCCAGAGAGAGCCGAGGCAGTGGGTGAGACGCTCACGCTGCCTGGCCTGGTATCTGCAGATAACGGCACCTACACCTGTGAGGCGTCGAACAAGCACGGCCACGCGAGGGCGCTCTACGTGCTGGTGGTATACGGTGAGGGCGGCGTTACGCAGGCCTGGGGGCAGGACAGGTCCAGGCCTCAGGGCGTTAGGGGAGGAATCTTAGCAAAGAGCTTGACTGAACCAACCGAGTTGCTTCTCGGGTGGTTGGGGGAAACTGAGTCAAAAGAAAAGGGACCAGGCATGGCGGCACACACCTGTGATCCCAGACCGTTGGAGGCTGAGGCTAGCCTGGCCAAAATAGCCTGCCTACAAAAAAAGGAGGGTGTGTGTGTGTCAGTGTTTGCCCAGCATGCATGAGGAAGCTCTGGGTACATTTCCCAGCACTGCATTCAACAGACATGGTGGCACACCATGGTGGCACATCTGTAATCCTCTGGAGGTGGAGGCAGGAGAATCAGAAGTTCAAGTTTATCATCATTAGTGAGTTTTAGGCTAGCCTGGGATACAGAAGGCCAGGTCTCAGTTTCACACCTATACAGCAGCAGAGGCAGGTGGATCTCTGAGTTCAAGGCCAGCGGGTGAGTCCCTGACTCAAAACAAATAAATAAACAAAAAGTGGGGTAGGGGGTGGGGAGGGATGTGTTAATTTGTCTTGGGAGGGGAAAGGGAAGGAGACCCGGCAGTTATTGAGAATGGGAAATTAGGCGGCATAGAAATGAGTAAGTATTCCTGGAGGAACTGGAATTGGAGTCAGTGCAAAGGAACTGCAAGCTGGCAGTAATTTTGAGGGGCATGACACATAAAGGGGCACCGTTAGAGGTGTGTAGAATGGCTTACTAGCTTGGCAGCAGCAGGCCAAGATTGAAAACATTTCCCATGACCTACTTACTCTTGACCCCCATCCCTCTGACAGACCCTGGTGCAGTGGTGGAGGCTCAGACCTCTGTTCCCTACGCCATCGTGGGCGGCATCCTGGCACTGCTGGTGTTTCTGATCATATGTGTGCTAGTGGGCATGGTCTGGTGCTCTGTCCGACAGAAGGGTAAGAGGGGACCCCGCCTCAAGTCAGCAAAGAATGTGGCTGATTGTGGGATTCTGAAAGGGGTGGGGTCCAGAGCCAGGCTAGAAAGGGGCAGAGCCTAGATCCAAATCTAGAGGAATTTGAGATCAGGACTGCAGAGGGGAGGGCTTTAGGCCCTGGATTCTAAAAGGGCTGAAATTTAGCTGAATTAAAGGAGGAGATTTTGAGTAGAGCAATTTATCTAATTGCTGGATTCATTGAGCGCAGAGGTCAACGGGAATTCTATCTAGAGAAGGGATAAGGGGCCTGAGGATATAACTCTTAGTAGTTAGCAGGCTCAGCATGCACAAAGTCCTAGGGTTGGGACTGGAGAGATGACTCAGCAGTTAAGAGCACTGGCTGCTCTTGCAAAGGCCCTACACTTGGTTCCTAACACCCACATGGTGGCTAACGACCATACGTAACTCCAGTTCCAGGGGCTCTGACACCCTCTTTCTGACCTCCCAGAGCACTGTATACACATGGTGCACTTATATGCAGGCAAAATACTCATACACGTACATTAAAAAAAAATATTTTAAGCCTCTGAGTCCAATCCCCAGTACTTGGGAGGTAGAGGCAGGAGGATCGCCTTCCACTTCATAGCAAGTCTAGGGCCAGCCTGGGCCACAGGAAATCTTGTCTCCAAAAAGGGAGAGAGTCTTCCTAATCTGCTTTTACCTCTTTCCCTACTACTGTCTTGCACCTTACTGAACTTGACTCTGTTCCCTTTCTTCCCCTGACTTGGTCTGGTGTCTCACTTGTCTGCCTCCATCCCTCTGTTCATGCATCCACTTCCTGGGCCCACATATGTCCCCTCTACTCTGGGGTGTGTGTGTGTCTCTCCCTCAGGCTCCTATCTGACGCATGAAGCCAGTGGTTTGGATGAGCAGGGGGAAGCAAGAGAAGCCTTCCTCAATGGCAGCGAGGGACACAAGCGGAAAGAAGAGTTTTTCATCTGACCCCACCCCCACTGCCAGCTGCAAGGAACCAGCAAAGACATTGACCAGAGTCTGGGATGGTGGGCTTCCCCCCCCACCACTAACACCTCAGGCACTTGGGCAGGGATTGGGGGTGTTGGAAGCCTGGATCTAACCCAGGGCTAGAAGTGAGGGACCAGAGGATTATGTCCCCCAGCAGGGGACAGGGACCAAAGGTCCCTTCTAGACCCCCTCCCCCCCAGTTCAGGGAGGGCAGTAGGGATTGGGTTAGGGGAGATAACAGGAAAAAGGCCAGAGCCCCTAGGCTACAGAACCAGGTCCTTTGGGGAGGGGGTCAGATTTGGGGAAGGGTGGGGTGGGCAGGGAAGGGGAACACATTTCTTTGGGGGTTCCAGACCCTAAGCCAGCCATTGTAAGAGTTCCACAGAGCTCTGGGCACCTCTTTGCAAAGCCATGTTTGCACGGTGGGGGAAGGGGTGGGGGGAGGGCATGGAAATGGGGATTCTGTGTCTGTGTCAAAACTGATGGGGGCAGTGAGGGAGACAGCCCCAAACTTTACCTTCAGTTCCCCTTCCCCAGGTTCCTGGGCAGCTCCCTTCCCCTCCATCTCCAACCCCCACATCTTTCCCAGCCCATATTTTTCTGTCCATCCACTCCTGGGGGGGCCTTCCCCGTCTCTCCTCCAGGCCCCCCAGGGAGGGAGAAAAGGCATTTGGGGTGGGGATGTGTGGTCTCTATGGTTTTATATATAATATATTAAAAAATCAAAAATCTGTATGAAAATATCAGATTGCACCCTCTCCCCCCATTCCTAAGGCTTTTGCCCCCTTTTCTTGTTTAAAAAAAAACACACATTTTTGTATGGGGCGGGGAGGGGATGGGGAGGGGGTTTGGCAATCCCACTAACCACCATTAAACTGAGGAGAGAACAAGCTTTTGGGGTGGCCGTGTATCTATCCCTCTGCCCACTGCTGCACCTCTTCTAGAGGGATGGGGTCAGGGAGAAGAGCTTGACAGCAGCTGATATGTAAGATGGTAAAGGGTCCAGACCTCACTGAGGCCACCTCAATTCACCCTTTGCAAAAACTGAGGCTTTTAGCCAGGCTTGATGACACATGCCTTTAACTCCAGCACTCGGGAGGCAGAGGCAGGTGAATCTCTGTGAGTTCCAGGCTGGCCAGCCTGATCTACATAGTGAGTTCCAGGCCAGCTGGGGCTACTGGGAGACCCTGTCTCAAAAAGACAAAAAAAAAAAAAAAAAATTACGGTTTTTGTTTTGAATTTCAAAGTCTGTGGCAGATGTGGGGAAGGATGGATGTGTGTGGGTTTTGTTTGTTTTTGGTGGATTTTTAAAATTTTATGTGTATGAATGTTTTGCCTACATGCAAGTGTACCCCTGAGGGCAATGTCTTCAGAGGTCAGAAGCAGGCATTAGATCTGGAACTGGAGTTGGCCATTGTTAGCTGCCATGTGGGTGCTGGGAACTGACCCAGGTCCTCTGTAAGAGCAGCCGGTGTTCTTAACTGATGAGCCACCTCTTTGGTCCTTTCTTTTTAGACAGCACCTCACAAGGTAGCCTGGAACTCACTGTATAGCCCAGGCTGGCCTTGAACTCATACAGTCCTGCTGCCTCAACTTCTAGGCCACCAAACACAGCCACTTGTGACTTTTTCCTGGCCACTGTCTTCATCCAGTCACTTTGTCTCCTCTCTGGTAGCTACTGACTGATCCTATGTCCCCATCCTCATGGCTTAGATCCCAGCCTTGCCTCTGCCCTCCATTCAACTCCAGGGGCACCTTCAATTCCATTTCATCCTGCTCAAAACCACTGCTTAGCGCCTCATCCCCTCTAGATCAAGTCAAAGCCCTTTAGTCTGATATCCAAGAACCTCATTCATTCACCTCAGTACACACACACACACATGCAAACGGTTATTATATAACCCTGGCTGGCTTCAAACTCACAAAGATCCTGCCTCTCAAGTGAGTGCTGGGACTAAAGGCATGGGTTACCATACCTGACATTCACTCATTTAAATTTTACGTATATTATTCTAACTTTAGATTCAAAACTAACCTCTTATAAACCAGGCTACGTACTTTTTAAAAGAATTTTATTTTTTTTTTTGTCTTTTTGAGACAGGGTCTCTCTGTAGCCCCAGCTGTCCTGGAACTCACGATGTAGACCAGGCTGGCCTTGAACTCACAGAGATCTGCCTGCCTCTGCCTCCTGAGTGCAGGGATTAAAGGTGTGCGTCACCACGCCTGGTTTATTATTATTTTATGTGTATGAGTGTATTATTTGCATGTAGGTAGGTGTACGTGTGTCATGCAATGTCCTCGGAGGTCAGAAGAGTGCGTCAGATCCCCTGAGAGTTATGGAAGGTTGTTAGCTGCTGTGTGGGTGCTGGGAATTGAAACTGGGTCCTCTGCAAGAGCAGTCAGTGGTCTTAAGGGCTGAGCCATGTCCCCACCCCCACCCCCACGCTACATACCTGTAACAGCTACTCCACTGCTGAGGTACACGGATGGCTTGAACTGGACAGCCAGCCTAGGCAATAGAATGAGACCAGGTATGGTAGTGCATGCCTCTAATCCCAGTAATTGGGAATCTGAGGCAGGAGGATCACTGTCAGTTTGAGGCCAGCCTGGGCTAGCTAGTTAGTTAGAGGCCAGTGCCTGGATTATACAATGAGACTCTGTATACCCCTTACAGTGTGCTAGCTGTTAATGTTCTGGATAGCCTACTATGAATACAACAGCCCCCCAAAAGTTAGTTGTTAGAGTTTAACACTAGTCTGTAATTTACACTGAGGGATGGGGGGAAAGGCAACTCCATTCTTGAAACTTTGGAGAAAATGGATATGCGAGGAAGTAAAGAAACAATTTCACAGCTGCATGGTGCTATACACCTGTAATCAGCACTCAGGGAAGCAGCGGCAGGACTGATGTACATTTGATGCCACCCTGGTCTACATATCCAGTCAAGGCTACATAGTGACACCCCCCACCAACAAATGAAAAACTCAAACTTTTAAAACTGTGGAGAGCTATTAAAATGTAAACTGTGTGTGGTGACTAATCCCAGTACTCTGGAGGCTGAGGCAGGATTGTGAATTTGAGGTCAGCCTGGGCTATAGTAAATCTATCTCAAGAAAAGAAAAAAGCCGCACGGTAGCGAGAACCTGTAATCCCAGCACTCAGGAGGCAGAGGCAGGTGGATCTCAGTGAGTTGGAGGCCAACCTGGTCTACATAGCAAGTTCCAGGCCAGTGCTGCATAGTGAGACCCTGTCTCAACAACAAAAACCCAGCACAAAATATGCGGGGTACTATTTTATTTAAGTTGTAATGGAAAATTTTGTGCAAAGTGAAGGCGACAGAAAGGGCCACAGAGTTCCACGCGCCATTTGCCTCATTTTCATTGTTGACAAAAAGCATAACTCTTACCTCAAAGAGATAATTTATTCTGGAGCCAAATGTGAATGACCATGGCCCAGGAACACAGTTCCCAATTCCATGTTCCAGCGTGGTAACAGTTTTATTACATGTTTATAGTAATAGAACAAAGAAAAGCTATAAATCAAGATACTTTTTTCTTTTCTTTGGTCTTTTTGAGACAGGGTTTCCCTGTAGTCCCAGCAGGCCTGGAACTCCCTACATAGACCAAGCTGCCCTCGAACTCACAGAAATCCGTCCGCCTCTGCCTCCCGGATAAATCACATTTTTCATTGGTGGATGGGAATACTAAGTAGACAGATACAGCAAAAAAAGAAATCGTATCTGGTGGCATTCTTAGCCTTTTGATTGGTGGGGACTGTTTCTTTTGTTAATACTTTTTGTTGGTTAACAGGAATGTTAATTCAGAAACAGACAAGGGCAAAGTGGCTATTTATGGGGTTAAAGACGTCCCCAGATAATTTGTGAATAGGCTCTGGATCTGTAACATTCCAAACTGGCCCCAGTGTTTGAAGTGCTAATCAGCTGGTCGGCCTTGCAGGAGGTTCAGCTCGAGTTCTTTCAGGGAACTTACTTTCACATCATGCACCATCAACTCCTGGCCAACCTGCTTGTTCATAACCCACCTCAAAGGTGCTTCATTACTGCGTGGGATAGTGCGACAGTCTCCTAACTACTCAATCTGCACATGCTATTATAATACAGGAATGCCTCTCAGAATGACATCTATGAGAAAACGGGAATAGTAAACCCAGAGCAGCAAGGGGAAAAGTATTTTCAGAAAAAGGGAACAGCAACATTGAAGAGATTGGTGTTTGTATTGCAGGCCATCCTGACTGGATAAAAAGGTGGGTGTGGCCAGAAAAAACCCCAGCAGCGCCAAGGGCCATTGACTTGGAGATGGGGGTGTGGAGGCTCATACTAGTAATTCCAGCACTTGGGAGGCTGAGGCAGGTCTGCAGGAGTTCATGAACACAAATCGTGCGCCACGGAGCTCCAGGCCAGTGTGGCTACACAGGGAGACTCAGTTTCAAGAACAAAACCCCCAAACTTTTCTCAGTGTAATAAGACTCCGTTGGAGTTTCAGGTTGCTAGGTGAAAAAAGCACTGGCTGCTCTTGCAGAGAACCCCGGTTCGATCCAACACCCTCTTCTGACCTCCGAGGACACTGCACGACATGGGTGCACTTACATACATGCAGACCATATACACACACATGAAATAAAAATAATAAAAATAAAATTACCCACGGAGTTTGGAGTCATAATGTTTGTAATCTCAGCACTTGGAAAGGCAGAGGTAGGAAAGTCAGAAGTTCAAGGTCATTCTCTTTTACCTGGGGGAGTTCCAGGCCACCCAGGGCTACAAGAGACCCTCCCTGCCTCCCAAAACAATGTAAACTTTCTCCTAATTGTGTTCTAAGTTTAAGAGCACGCTTTTATTTCTACAAAGAAATTAGGCACTCCTTTGCCCCTGGCTATTCCCTCGGTCAGACTCCCTTCCTAGTAGGCTCCAGTTTATTCTTGGCTTAAAAATCAGCCCTTGGGAGTCCTTCCAGAATCCCAGGGCCGGGCAGGCACCTCTAGCACCTACAACCTCCTATGCAGTATGTATTCCAGGTTTGACAATTCGAAGTATTAATCTAATCAGGTGTGGTTCCTCCCTTCGACTGGGGTGTCCAGATCCGTCTCATTCACCACAGAAACCACAACGCGGGCCAGCACAGGGCCTGATACACAGGAGTCCAATAAAGATTTATGGTCGGCAGAGGTGTGACAGTCGATCCAGGTCCTAGACCTTGTGTAGTCTGGGCACAAGGCTACCCCAACCACGCCAGGCTGCAGTTGGTACGCGCATGCGCTTTACTCAGGCAGCCCCCACCTCCATCCATATGCTAATCACTGTGCTCCAAAAGACAGCCTCTCCCGGGAATATGTAAATCACACCCTCCAGTGCCGGAGGCCTTCCTTTGTCCCGCGCTAGGATTATTCAAATGAGCCTGCCTCGCAGCTCGGGATCCAGGCCGAGCGGATAGCCCTCCGCCCCCCACCCCAAAGCATCCCGTTTATCAGGCGCGTTTCCGTTCCTCCGCGCATGCACGCGCGGCGGCTGAAGCTTCTGGACGCTTCGGGCTGCGGACTGTACCAAGTCCAGTGGGGCCGCGAGGGGCAGAGCACGACATTCATCCATCCCTCTCCCCCCTCCAGCGTTGCAGAGCCCCTCTTCCCACCCAGAGCCGGTAATGGACCATCTGGTCGCGCACGCGCCCTAGGCTCCTCAACCCCCTCGCTCTCGCTCCTGTAGCTGCAACGCAGGCGCAGTGCCCGGGCGTGCAGCCGCCACTGCCGAGCCCGAGCTGGGGCCTCCGGCGCCGGTGAGTGTCCCGGGCTTGGGGTGCGCGGGGCATGCTGGGAAGCGGGCGCTAAGGCCCCGCTGCATGATGGGAGCCGCGGCGGCTTGGGGTGACCTGCACAGGGGCTCGTTAGTTTCTCCGGAGCACGCGGCTGCGGACCGCCCTGGGGCATCTCGGGAAAACCCGGAGCTTTGCCTTACAGCTTTGTTGGTGGGCCAGGCAGGGGCCTGCTGCATTCTAGGAAGGACGATCTCAGCTGCTAGTGGGGACCCTGGGCCCTTTTATGTTTAGTTCTCACTGCGTGATGAGCTGTTGTGCATGGATGCCGTCCCAAAACGTGGTCCTTAACAGGCCCGAAGCATCTGGGAAACTGACACAGGGCATTGTGGGAAGCTGGTCCTTATTTTCTGTAGGGTTTGCTCTAGTTGTCTTGCCTTACCTAACGTTGATGCGTTCACCCAGTGTGCAGCCTGGGTTCCCTTTGCCCCCCTCCCCCCAAATGGTTGCATGTAACCCAGGCTGGCCTTGAACTCAATGTAGTGGAGGATGCTCATGAACTTCTGATCTTCCTGCTTCCACCGCCCAAGTTCTGGGGTTGTAGGAGAACCAAACAGCACCTAGTTGTGTTTGCGCTGCAGTATTGAGGGCCGTTTAAGTTTCTCTACCATCTTGTGAGCCAGTCTGGCCACCACGTGAGATTTATGTACTAAGGGATGCGTTCACCTGATATCTGGAACGTTCTGGAAAGAGCTTTGCCTTGAAAAGCGGTGGTTGTCCCCAAGTAGTCCCATAGGACATCCTGGTACTTCTTGGTACGTGGTTGCCAGATAGAATAGTTAAAGCCTAGGGTGGCATCAGATGCCCATAATCCCAACACTTGGAGGATCAGGAATTTTAAGCGAATCTGGGCTACCTTTTAAAAAGGGAATGAATTTGGGTTTCAGGGGAAAAAAAATGAATTTCAGGGAAGCGTTTGGAAAAATGTCCCAAATATTAAGTAGAACATAATGTATATTAAATATTTTATCTAAAGTTAAATTTTAACTGGGTGTCCTCAGTTTTTCTTTGCTAAATGTGGCAAGTGTATCTGGGCATAATGTAGAATTCCTAAATTAGATGGGGCCCTACATGTGAGCCTTTCCCAGTTGCTAATCCTCTCTGTCCTTAAAAGGCCTGGGTCCAGGGGAAACAGGGAGAAAGAGGGTCCCCTAAAGGCTTTAGTCTTATAAAAGAATTTAAGATGGACCCAACTGGAAGCTTTTACAATTTTATTAGAATCTTAAAAAAATCCTCAGGGCAGGAGAGCTGGTCATCTTGGCAGTTGCCTTGGGAAGAAGGAAAGAAAATTATGGAAGACATGCAGGTTTAGAGTCTTCATGGAGTTCCCACACGCGGAGAAGGAAGCTTTAGAGGAAAAAGTGAAGAAACGCAAGATGCTAGGGGCAGCCCAAAGCCTTAAAGAAAAGCATGTGTAGTAAGAAAGGCATGAAGAGATCTACTTACCTACAAGACTATGCCTGGGCTGGAAGTTCTGCAGAGAGCAGCAGCTAGTTCAGGCAGGAAATGTTTGTTACCTCATTAACACACCAGGTAGTCCACCCATCTATTTAGCATAATTTATGATGAACCTACCTTCCTGGGAATGGTTCTATCACTAGGTAATTGACCAGTGAGTCTGGAAAAGTGGATCCTTCAACAGATAGATTAGACACTTTTTTATAGTCTGGACTAGCTCAATTTACAGGGCTTATTGACACATGTCTTTGGAAGTTCTACTGCCACCACCACCAGCCCTCCCCCATCTTCCTCCAGCTTCATTCTCAGTCTTTTTCTCTGTAGTACCCCCAACAGTGAACTTCGACATCTGGACTTTGAGAAGATAGTGTATTTTCCGCTGCTGTCTTCCTACTGAGCAACACATAGGTTTTGCCATACATTGAGGCTGAGCCAGATGTAGCAATGCACATCTGTAATCCCAGTACCTTGGAGGCTGTTAGAGGATTGTCAGAGATCACTGGGTTTTGGGGTTGGGAAGAAATACCGAAGGTGTTTAGGGGTGTGCTTCACATGGTGAAAAGGAATGTTGCAGGTTCACCAAGGTGAAGGTGGAAATTGCAGGTGACCACAAACTAGAACCCCACCCTCCAGTTAGTAAAGGCCCATAGACTTCCTGGAGAAATCTGGAGTGCCTGGAGTTTGTAGAGGGATGAGCTAGGGCCTGGTGACAGCCACCAGTTTTGGAGTACATACCACATTCCTACAATTTCAATGAAACCTCCTGAAGCTTTTGTTTTGTGTGTATGGGTTTTTTTTTTTTCTTTTATGTTTTTGTTTTTTTAGACTAGGTCTTTTGTAGCCCAGGCTGGCCTGGACTCTGTAGGTAGCCAAGGATGACCTTGAGCTTCACCTGAGGGCTGGACTACTGGTGTAGGCTGCTTAGCTCTGTTGAGCCTACTGAATATTCAAAGCTTGACTTTGAAATTCTAGTTCAACCACCTAGGAAATGAGGTGACCTGTGACTTTGGACAACCTGTCTATCCTTTCTGTTCCTCAAGGCTTCCTTTATTCTGAGATAATGTTTCTGTGTATTTCCCAGTGCACCAGGCAAAGCCTGGAAGCCATTTTTCCCAAAGAAGTGTAATGGAAAAATCAGAGACCAACAGCGGAAGTCAGGTGAGGAGAGGAAGTTTAATTTGATGCTAGCAGGACTGACACCAGGAATAAAAGAGTCAGATCCCCCTGTTTAAGTTTGGGGGGCGAAGTATACTCATGAGGAATGCAAACAAAAGGTACATAGCATATACATAGAATGTGATAGCTTTGGAAAACAAAGACTTCTTATCCTGGATAACCAAAGGGGGCAGGGGAAGATTCCTGTTTACTTCCCCATTCCCAGAGTTCTTAATTACCATCACAATCCAAAATCCTTTAGCATCTGATAAGTTCTACTTCCATAATATTTCCCTCTTCATCAACATGATCCCTTATGTTTATTCCAGAGGAACCCTGTGATATTCTTGACCTGGAGTCTGATAGCTTCTACTCAGTTTGATAGATTTACTGAGAATATTTATTGTACATGGCCCTATCAGGAGGATTAATAGAATCACGACTATGGGTCCTGTAAACGGGGCCAGCCAGGGACCGCAAGTTCTCCAGGTATTCTTCCAGAAAGACTCATTTCCCTCCTTTCCAGCCTTTATTTTTTCTAGCAGTTGCTTTGTATTCTAACTATGCCTGATTGGTTTGCATGAAAACAGCATTTTTCTCCCACATAGGCACATATACCTCCTTTCTGATGGTTCTGATATCTTTATTTTCAGGGATAAGTTTACTGGCCGCTCTAACAAAATTTCCAGCTCCCAGTTCAGAAACTGGTCATTTTCTTTTGGAGTCTTTACTTTAAAACTGTCTTAATTTTTACCTTTTATTTTTATTACGTTGAAGAGGTAACCCAATTTGCCCATGGGGAATTGGGACACAACCCACTCTGGCTTCTTCCATGCTGAACAGGGATGCAGGGTGTGGCAATTGAGGTGCCCCTTCAGTGGGTCTATCTAAAAGACTCCCAAAATGCATAAGTTTTAACTGTAGGGAGAGAAGAAAGTCCTTGACCAATGCCTGGGAGATATGAAGGAGAAGTAAAGGCAGGAATAGTCAGCATTACAAGTTCTAGACAGGGAACCAGAAAAATCGGAACAGGGCAAACTTTAAATGTCCAAATTAAAGTCCATTGAAATTTCCTGATAAGGGCTTTCAAAGCATCCCTCTATTGGGTTCCTCATTTTTCTTTTGGCCACCAAGGCTGGACTAGAAAGAGATGAACTCAGGACTTGTTTTCAGGCACTCTGATAGCTGTTGGAGTGTCTAGAATCAGTCTTCTAGACAGGGAGAGAAAATAAATTTAGCCATCATTTCAGAACAATAGTAGCTGCAGATGGGCATTATAGTATTGGAGACCAAGATTGGAAGTCTTACACCTGGGTAGCATTTTCTTGTTAAGGACAAAATCACTACTGAGAGATAATTGCCTAAATAACATTTTACCTGGACTAATATCTGGGAAATGTAAACCTTTGGACTCTTAAATATACTGATGTGCGGTATGAAAGGAGAGAAGGTTAGAAATACACTCATTAATTTTTGGTTATACTTTTGGGTGTTTAAGACCATGCATTTGGCCCAAATAAACCAATTTACTTTTACTTTAAGGTCAGTTGAGGATCTGTTCCTCGGGTCACCTGGGCTTGGGGGTAGCCCCTGGCTCCTTAGGCTTTTCTTTTACCAGTTCCATCTACCTGAAGATAAGTCAAGAGGCCCTGCTTGACCAGGCTTAAGGAAGCATGGAGGAAATGTTTCCTCTGTGTTGACCCTCCTCTTTGCAGACTGGACACTGGTTTGAGTCCCTCTGGTGGAGTCTCCATGACCTCCCTGAACAGGAGGACAGGTGACTCATCACAGTTACAGTGAATATCAAGAGATTCCCATAGTCCCCTGGGACACTGTTGATGTTCCAGGGCAAGGAACTTGACCCTCCTCTTTGCAGACTTGTCCAGATTAGTATGGGCCTTTAAATATGGTTATTAACCATCCAAGAAGGTCAGTTGCACCAGCATGGTACCTTTAATTACTGTGTAATATATAGATAAAGCTTGAACAAAACCCAAACATTCTCCATAAACATTGACCAGAACAGATTTACCATCACAGGTTAACAAGGCACAGCCCAGGAAAGGGACCTGAAAACAAGAATTTCTTAAGTCTGTCTCAAATGAAGGCTGTTCTATTACAAACAGAAACAGTGTCCTTCTAGTTCTCTACATCCTGATTTATACTTTTCAGTAGGAAGGGAGGCATTATATCACATACCTATGGATAGGAAATAAACTGATCAGAATTCAGACCAAGCTTCACAGAAACTGTTTTCTTCTAGATTGCATACATCTGGTTCAAGGAGGCAGACCTAGTTTTTCTTGTGTCAAATCATTCTTGTTATGGGCAAAAGATAGTGCCAAAAGTAA